GCCTCAACTTTATATCATAGCAAAAGTACTAACAACGATTTCAATTCAGCACATTAATTACTGTGAAACAAACGCAACTTTTAGCATTTGATAATACAAGGAGGGTCGAGTTAACAAACAAAAGGAATTAATTCAACAATCTCATAAAAAGAAATAAGCAGTTCATAAAACTTTTAATAATTAAAACTCAAATAAAAATAGGAGCTTCGGGGGCATAGCTCGACCAGTTTACTTAGACCTGCCTCACCCTTCTCTGATCTACGAAGAAATGGTGAATCTGGGGGAATTTTATGTAAGTCCTGAGTTCTTTTTAAATGGGCAATGTACAAGAACCATTTTCCTATATAAATCCCTGCTGGAGGGTAAAAGAACTGACAACTGTCGTTAACTCATCCTGACCGGGCATTAAGGAGTGTAAACAGGGAATAGGTCGTAAAAATAATGGCTCGTCTATTTATCAAGATAAGGATTATTAATAGGTACATTTTATATTTTATTTTTCATACACTGCGACTCCCATCGCCTTTCAAACTCAAATATTGTTTTTGTCTCTGCATCACATAAAAGTCTGACTGGAAGAGAATGAGGTGGAGAACGTACATGGCATTGAGCCCACTTCGTACACTAGTATATGCATAAAGCCTTTTAAAAATAAAAAATAATTAAAAAAATTTTGCGTAGCTAATAGAATTTCTTAAGAAAATTTGTGTTACAGTAATTTTTTTCACTTTTTTGCAGAATTTTCCGTTAATTATTAATAACCTAATAAGATTATAAATACTGTTAATTTCAAGAATTATACTCCATATAGCAGAAGATGCAATATGCTATAAAATAGCCGTGTAACTTGAATTATACTTGAAAGATTAATCGCGGTCAAAACAACCTTATAAATACAATTCTATAAGGTTAAGATTTGAATGCAAGTTCAATTTGTTTTCAGTACAAAACAGTTCCATTGAAAGATAACGCGTGTTACCCATGCTCTAACTAGAACCAACTACTTAATAAATCGTCCAGCAGATTGGACTATCTCGTGATCTCAATCTTACGCTTGCACTATTTTCTTTTAAACTCCTTAGAAATTTCAATTGCAACATGTGCATCTACTAGTTTTTTTACATTAATGAAAATAGACTTTTTCATTACACTCTGAAAACTTGATCAACTATTCTTAGTATCGGAAAGTCGATTTAAAATAAAATCTCCCTTGAAATAAGCTATGCTTGATAACCCTTTCCAGAATAATAGTAAAGTCAATTTATTGTCGCGGAGAACCTAACAGTTTACCGGGGCTCCGGCTCGACGTGCAAGAGAAGGAACGGGGTGGTTTTTAGTCAGTAAGAGTCTGAGACTCTCTTCCGCCTCACCCAGACGGGAGCAGTCATGCGATGATTTTCCCCTAATAAAAAAAAATTGCCAGATTGTAGGTATCTATAGTCCAGTTTTATTTTGTGTACATTGTACATTAGCAGGTAGTTGATTGCAGGATCATCAAATCGGCCGACGACGGCGACGTCTCCTCTGTAGGCAATTTTCAATCTCTTTCCTATTTGTGACAGTAATAAAGCGGCCGGGAAAAGTCAACAATCAATTTTGTATTTCAATTTATTCCCAACCATCCTAGTTCGTGGGATGATAAGAAAAAGAAAAACGCGTTCATTGAAAACGGAAATTATTGCAAGAAGCCATCAGTGGTGTGCGCCCGGCTTCCTACGTTGTTATATTTGTGTTTTTTATTTTCATTTTTTGCCAAACGGTTTCACAGTTTTGATTTGTGAGCCGTCGCGTCGGTGGGAGCCATTTTTCACGCACCTCATTGTGAAGTTCACGCTCGAGGAAGCCGGCTGCGAAGGTTGGCGAGCTCGTCACAACTCACACCTTTATTTATTGTCAACCCTTTCTGTTTGGATATGTGCTTCGTATACAATGCACGCGATTTGTTCAATTGATTTCTTCTCACCTTACAGAACACAATTGCTGATTTGTGTAATGTAGATATCATTGATGTGGTTTTTCGTTAACATCAATTTGTTTGTTGTTACATATTATGAAAAGACTAGCTACTTCCACGCGGTTTCACACGCTCTGCTCAGCTCCTATCAGTCGTAGCGTGATGTTTTATAGCCTATAGCCATCCTCGATAAATGCGCTATCCAACACAAAAAGAATTATTCAAATCAGACTTAGAATCCGAAAGATTAGCGCGTTCAAACAAACAAACAAAAAAACAAACTCTTCTGCTTTATATAATATTATAAGATTAAATAACAATAATTGTCCATCCATACCCACAGAACTTCTTTCTCAATTTAAAATAATTTGAGAAAAAATAAAATAATCAATAAATTGTGTTTTAAATTTCAATTCAGTGGTGAGTTAGTTGTGTGTTGGTTCGTAATGTTGGTGGTTGTTTACAGTACTGAAATTAAAGATGGCATCGATAACAATTCTATCAGGGAGTGCTGGGCCGACAATGAGGGCGGGAGGTCGGGAAATTGGGGTGATTTTTCTCCTCTTTGCACGCTAACCGTAAGCAGTAGCGTTCGCAAACAAATGTGGAAATTAACTACATTTATAATGCACTGATAGAGATCGCTTTAAGGTTTAAAGTAACTGTTTTTTTATAGTTTCTAGTTGCAATTATTTTTATTACCTATGGACTTAAATTCTACTTTAAAAAAGAAAGTATCTTTTGAAAGGAAAACATACATTAATATTCTATTTCTACGTAATATTAAAAATGTATCGTGTCGTCTAGCGTATTATACTCTCCTCTATAACTGGGTTATAATTTACCGGTATGTATGACACAAGAATGCACTTGTGACTCCTCTGGTGTTGAGGGACCCCATGAATTGTACTGATCACTTACCATCAGGTGATCAGTCTACACGTTTGCCCCTCACATCAACAGGCTATAAGTGGCCTCTACTAACCAAATGCCGTTCTCACAAGGAGAAGGTTTGAATATTAAACACGATGCTACGTTTGCCCTTATACCATTAAAAATACAATTTGTGTATAACCTCACACTTTTCATTATACACCCTAAACTTTCAAAGTTTCAGACGTAAGTGTTTCAGATAACATTGTGGTATGTGTGACACCTCGCCTTAATAAGTAAGTAGTGTAAGTTGGTTATTAAGACACTCAATCAAAGTACCTAATTCCTAACAACAACACGTCTCCTCATTGCTCCACATTGCAACTACAATAGCATAAACTACACCATTTTGAGTTTGACTGACTATCTCTACAGTTTTCCGAGTCCCTCTTCAGGTGATATCAGTAAATACTACAATGCACGGCGGACGACATTTTTATGCCCCCGATATGAGAACATTTTACTCTTCATTCACGCCTTGCTACCAAAAGGTGCTCTGTTCGAATTTCCGCTGCCCTCTCTGTTGATAACGCATTTTCTCTTTCATTGAGTACTTTATAGCATTCGTTGTACAGAGGTCAGAGTCTTTACCTAAATAATACTTTGTGGTGACAAAGAGCTGTCTACCGCCTTTTAGTGACTAGAGGTGCTCCCTCACCGGGAGCATTCACGTGTAATGTAACATTTTAGATTCAACTTTGAGCATTACATTACAATAATACGTCCCTGACTAACGAGCATTTGCGTGTAATGTAACATATAGATTCGACTTTGAACATTTCATAGCAAAATGTCATAGAAACGGACGGGCGGGGTGCGCATTGATGTTACAAGTTGTATCAAGATATTAGACATTGTATCATTAGGTACAAGGTACGCATTGTAATGCTCGGATTTCCTCCTTCACTGATGTAATGCTCAGATCTGTAACGTTACATTACACGCGAATGCTCCCGGGGAGGAAGCACCTTAACGCTTAAATACTAAAGGCTACTCAATTTTAGGTTGTACTTAAATATCGTGCCATCTCTGTTATTTTGAAAAGAATTTGTAGGGACAGAACTATCCTTAAGCGCGTTTTAAAATTAAGTGGTGTTTGGACATTAGAATTAGACATTTCTGTAGTCAGATAATTGAATTTCTATTAAAATAAGTACTTGTTTACAATTCCACTACAGGTTTTTACAGCTTTCTTTCAACTAGAAATCAAGTTTCATAGTTATACTTTAGTTTATAGTAGTATTTAGACAGTTGGCTCGTTAACTTCATCTTGATTAACATTGGACTAATTATAGAAACTGTAAGGGGAAAATACCGCTGATCAAACGGTATTTTTAACGAAAAACTGGATAAGAAATAAAATAAAAGTAATATTCTTGAACAAGGCTTTAATGAGCTACATCTTTGGTCGTATCATTGGTTATAAGAGAACTTGCACATTCATATTTATATAAATGTGTGTGTGTGCACACACAACCGTGCGTCTCTCATCTACAGGAATGCATGAGCTTGTACAGTCGTCAACATAACACCTACGTTATAATTACACATCGAAGTACTTGAAATGTATCAACTAGGTACCATCTCTGACAATAAAACACTTGATTCACAATTAGTATAACATTAAAACTTCTATGGATTTAAATACTCGCGTATAGAGCTTGCAAGGACTATTATAATTTTAAAATACACATTATTGCCGACTGTACACAATTAAATGCAAACAATTAATAAATCGTCCGAAGACGACGACAAGTATTCATTTAAAATATCACTAAAGTAACTAATTTGAACTATTTCGAATTATGTATTGTTTAATAAACACATAAATATCCACATTTTGCTAATTTAATCAAATATTTCATAATCACCATTGTATAATATAATAGGAGACGATAGTCTATATACTTAGAAAGTATTCTATTTACATAAATAATACAAACATCGTAACAATGTCCATAATAAACTTAACAGTTAATTTACATACATACAAAAAGAAATAACAAATATATTCGAAAAATTGATCATTGAAATAAATTTTTCATAACGGCTTAGCCAGATTAGAACTAAAAATATTTGAAAGTAACCTAAATATTTGATCGTTAAATACATTTAATTAATTTGAGACTCGATCGATTGTACCTACTATAATACGTACATATAGATGGTTATAATATTTACATTAACACTGATAGTTTACTCTAAAATACAATTCATCCATCAAAGACGACAATTCGGCAGTCTTAAAACCCGCGCTCGTTGGATTCTCGCGTTAGGTCGGTTACACATTCAGCGGTTTACACGCGCGTCCGTGCGGCGTCCCACCGCTCACCGTAGCGGTGCGGTGGAGCCGCCATAACGTCCATATCGCCTAGTAACAACGCATTTAAACCGCTGAAAATATTCACAGCCCTAAGAATCGCACTGTATCACTCCTCCGTACAGTAACTTCACTCATTATTACTTATACGTTTAAGAGAAAAATACAGACATGATATTGCAACTTTTAACAAATTTATACAAAAAAGAGATTCATAGATCCTTTACCTATATTCTAATTCAGCATAATTGCTCATCTGAGATCAAATTCTGAGAAAAAACTAAAACAGTTCTCCTTCGCATAGTCATTACTCTAATAACATAATAATATCATATTTTATTCAAGAAAATTACATACAATGTACGCTAATTACGTGCTGTCATAAACAATCAGAAACATTAACTACAGTTTGGCATTTACTTTGCTTTAGTTTATACGTACACTTAGAAACATGTTAAGTTCATAATAAGATGAATTTAAAAAGTTCTGTCTTTAAAGAGCTGCGTTAAACACTTTAGAGTTCGTTTGTAACGGCAACTGTTTGACTTGTATCAATCATTGTTTGGAGTACGCGTGATTAGTTTTGATACTTGGCGTAGGGGTGGGCCGCGTCTCACGCACTATAATCTCAGCTGGACGCCGAGAGGCCGAGTGGCTTGAGGTGCGGCGGGGCGGCGAATGGAGCCGGCGACGAGCCCGACATGTTGTTGTTCAGATCACCGGAGCGGCTCGAGCCGTTCATCAAACCGCTCATTGCGTTGCTTGTCTGTAGAAAATTTATTTAATTAACTTCCTGACTATCAACTCCAGACACATCATGCTGTATCTAAAACGAGATCTAGATCTTGTTTTGATCTACGATGCAGTAACATCAAAATATATTAAATAGAATTGTGTGATGATTTTCTGTACTGTGCGTGTTGTTTTTATTTTATAATATTATTTCAGTTATGAAAGAGCTTTTATAATTACTACATGGATATGAATATTTAGTACAGTTTCAGTCAAAGACTATTTAGATTGTCTTACCGGTGGTGGTGGTAGATGCGTGGTCTGCCTCTTCAGGTGCGCAAGCGGCGGCGGGTTGTACGCCATGTTAGCGAACACGAGGCGCTCCTCGTAGTCATACTCGCACAGGATCTTGTTGTCGCACAGGTAGAACCGGTCGCCCACGCAGAACCTTAGACAAACGATGCAGTTTATTGATTTAAATGTCCTGATATGGCAAGTATCGAGTTACTTTAGTCCGGTTCAATTTTACATAGAATATTCTTCTCACATAACTTAAATATTGTCTTTAACATATTCTCAGAATTTTACCATTTATGTGTTTGAATATAGAACGAGTTTTTGCTACCGCAGTCATAATCAAATATTCACCTGTTACGTACACATTATTATCGACTTTGTAGGTTAATTGCGACACTCACATCATTAGTTAGTACATATAAAATAAGCAAGCTACAAGCAGGAAGATCCAATTAGCGATGCTACCGGAACCTGCTACACAACCCACGCGTTATTAAGGTTAATAATTATTATACGCATCCTATTTCTAATAAGGCACCGTTCGATCTAATCGCGAACATCATTACTTTGATGAAAAGAAACTCAAAAGGCAAGCCACAAAACGTCTAAGGAATAAAATTTACTATCATGAGTGGAAAGGTCAGCGTGAACGAAGGAGGCGCGATAACGTCACGCAAGCGAGCATCCCTCAATGTGGCAAAACAAAAGGTATCGCCTTCGACTCGCCACTGTCCGCCCGGAACCGCCGGTGATAACGGCGACCTTATCTCCCCTCGGTCTCAGCCCCGCGCCCGCGCCCCGCGTCTCCGCCACCCTGCCAACTCTTTTGTTTCACTTGTCACAAAAATTAAGCGCAATAGCTCCGCTACAAATGTCTCTTTTTTAAGGGGCCAATTTCCACCGCAACTCAGTCGATTTCGCCGCTCTTAATTAACTTTATTTCCTGTTCTCTTCGTTCCCGACTTTTGTTTTGGGCTCGTCGTTTTTTATTTCGCTATTTTTTGTCTGCAGCTGCGTAATGGAAAAGATGGAAAACGAAATTTTAATGACTGGGTGCAAGTTAAGCTTTGTTCGAAGCGCCATTGTGTCGCAACGGCACCCAAGCCAAGTTTGACGTTTTACGTTAAACGAACGTGTACATTGGCTCTACTCCCTCTGCAGTAAGACAAAAGCATTCAGGAGGTGTCTGATCAAAATCTGTAAGCGAGAAAAACATTCCAATGTCTACCCAAGAATAGAAAGCCTCTTTCAATTTCATCAACGCTTATTTCGAAACGCTGTCCTGAGAGTATATTTACATTTTGTGACTATTCGTAATTTTTTGTAGTAAGTCAGAAGTTGGCAGCGTGAAGATAGTGGTTGCAGGCGTGGGCGGCGAGCGGTGGCGGTGGCGTGGAGCGGCGCGGACGGCAGACGGCGGGCGTGCGAGCCGCAGCACGCGGCTTCCGCCGCGGGCTGCCGCCGTCGCTCGCCGCCAGATTGCTACTAAATTATTTAGCCGTTTAGCGATATTCGCCCGTGATATCTGCCGTCCGCTCCGATCGGACAGCCCGCAAATTGGATTCAGATTTCTGCCCGGCGTGGAAATTGATTTGTACGTGATATTTAACAGTTTGCACTGGCGTACGGTAGTTGTTGCATGTTTATTAAACTTTAATCCACCTAATTACCAAAATACCTGTATAGACATTTATAAGTTGTAAATAACATATTACTACATACCCTACACAAAATACAATATAAATTATATATAATATAATACATTACAATAGAAACTATTATAAATATCGTAAGCTTTTGAAAGTACAAACCAGGTTCAAACATTTAAAAGACAAAGTCGAGGAGCGTTTTGCGTAATACGAAGCCAACTGTTGAATCTGTATTCTAAAAGCACTCGAATGAATATATAATTCGGCAAGAATGTCGCGCGAGATCTACTAACACGGGAAAGGTTCACAAGTGACATATAAACCATTCAGAGCGGCTCCAATCTTCGCGACCTTTCTATTATTTAAACGGACGCAGTCCGGCGAAAATTGCCGTTTTCGCGCCTGCACCCCTACTCTGAACTTTACACGACATTTTGGAGCGATACAGCGAAAGGGGAATATTGGAAGCAACCCATTTATATTATTTTTACCCTTTCAAATGAGTTATGCAAGTGCTATAAAAACCAAAACTAACTTTTGTCTAAAACCCGAAACTTTGAACTGTATCAAAATGTCCTGAAAGTCCACAACGAAATAAATTCGCTTTACAAATTCAGGTGACGTAAGTCGTGAGTTCGAGACTAGAATACGGACGGCGGTATCCGGGCCGGCTGACAATGTCGTGCACCGTACAATTGAATTGAATAAAACAGTCGAAGAGTATTCATATGTTTTGATTAGTAAAGAAATCTCGTTGCCGGGGCAATGTTACTTTGGAGAAATATTAAAGTGGGTTTAACAAATGTATGTTTGGGATTGCAAGTGCTATAAAGCTTTCATATCATTTGTATTCTTATAGAAAGAAACTCTTGATACTTTTGCTATAAATACTTTAGTTCGTTATATATAACTATGATCAGCGACGAAATCAGCACGATACTTTCGTAGTGCTTCGTATTTTTAAACACAATAACCAGTATATCGGTGTATGCTCGTATCTCCTGTATGTGAAAAGAGATGACGCAGTAAAAATTATATTCATTTTATGACAATGTACTCCACATTTTACAACTTTTTAATAGAGTACAGATTTACCCAGGTATGGGCATTGGTAAAGCTTCGGAGTTTAATCAATCTGTTGAAGGGCTACATAGGACATTATTGAATCCCGATTGCAATACGAACACGACACAAACTGAGCGAGGAAATGAAGAACCATTTGCACCTGTATTATTTGCTTTCCTACACAAGCCGAGGACACACTGAGACTAAATGTAGTCCGTACGATGTCCACTCGGCTTTAATTAATGCTGGCTTCCAACGACCATTGACATGGTTACCGATTTGATCTAATACTGTGTGTTATTTTAAAAGTTAACAGATTTTTATCATTATCAACGAACTTTGATACTGTCACCTGTTTATTGCCTTTTTCTAGTTTCCACTTTAATACCTTGATATAATCACCTAATAGATTAAAACTAGTATCAACTATATACTAATCAGATTCACACAAAATGTAGACTGTTATGTTCTATTTAACTAGAAAATAACAATATGACTCGTAAAATAGAGGTGATCATTATAACATTTATTTATGAATATTATTTTGATTTTTTTACCGATTTCTTCGTAATCCCTAAACCACAGATAATTTCAGAAAGTAATGTGTAATAAGTAGCATTCATATCGTGTCTCGTTTTGAAAAATATATAAGTGCTTTGTAATTTAATCCTCGACTAAAGGCGAAATATTTAAATAAACAATAAAATAAGACTCACAATTTATGGACACCAGATATTAAATGTTTATACAAGAGCACGCATTCTCCTCCTTGCGTTTGATTTTATTATGTAGCGGAAAATTTAATCGCGTTTTCACTCCGTGAGATGAATAAACAATATAAACTGCTCTTACATAATACTTCTGTCCCTTTCACTCAATAGTTTATTGGAATGTTTTGTCCTGCTCGTAAAATGTGGGATTCAATATGTGTGTAACATGTTCAGATCTTATTTGTTTTCATAAATAATGGGTGGAACTTTTTGGTAGGGGTTCACACTTTGGGTAAATTCTTAAGCTTGCACATTTCTTTTCTGTTAAATTGTATTTTTATAAAATAGTAAATACTTTTGTGAATTACCTATATAAATAATTGACTTTGAAAAAATATCTCACAGATTATTAATTGTATCTGACCAATAGGTCAGATACAATTAATAATAAATATTGAAATTGAGGTAAATATTGATTAAATTAACAAAAGTAATAACTTTTGTTAATTTAATCAATATTTTTCCATACATACCTATGATTGCACTGCTGGCAAGCGAAGCACTCCAGGTGATAAACATTGCTGCGCGCACGCATCACCATCTCAAACGCGGGAATGACTTTGTTGCAAGCCGCGCAGTATCCAGTGTTGCCGAACAGCCTGTTGGGAATAAGAAACTTTAGAATATTCTCAGATAATTAAGAATTTTGGGAAACGAAAAATCCTTTTTATTTTGAAAGTTGATTTATCAATGAGTCCCTGGACTCTAAAAGGTAACATTGGGTGCAACATATCTTATGATTAATTTGATGGATTGTAGGAGAATCATCTTCTTCGTCAGAACTTCTTGCTCGACAATTGCACTCGAGTACTTGAGGATTTAGTAATTAATGTATGATTCATTTTCGTTTGTATAATTTTAAATCAAATGTGGAACGTTTAACATACCTCAAATAGTCCCTCTTGCATAGGATGAGGTTGGCCCTCGTATACAGGGTGTGTCCAACTTCTCCCAGCCGGCAGTCGCAGCAGCCGCACTTGAGGCAGTCCTCGTGCCACAGCTGGTCCAGAGCCTTCAGTAAGTAGCGCTCCGTGATCACCTTGCTGCATCCAGCACAAATCTAGCAAACAAAAGAAATCTATATAATAATATGATAATTTTGGAGAGAATGTTTGAATGCACTCACTGAATAACTATTTGTCAACCTTGAAATTAAAACCAGATCTTAATATCCAGCTGTGACTGACTGAATATTGTGATCAATGAAGTAAGATTCAAATCAATAACTTTGACATTAAATACCTTTAAAAATTATACTATTTTACCTAGTTAAGTGAGTTCTCAACTATCAGCAGTTCTCGTCATAAACATGATAATAAATTAATGTACCTGTGGTTGAGGTGGTTGAGCAGGCTGCGAGGAGGTGCCGGTCTGCGCAGACGCGGGCAGTGGCGACGCGCGCGCCTCCTTAGCGACCTCCATGGCAAGCATCTGGGTACCCAAACCTGGACTACCGCCGCTCGCCTGTTGCGGCGTACGCCTCTCGCACTATAACAAATAAATTATATGTTACAAATGAACAAGAATTAAATAAAACTAATAAAACGTTTGCTTACAAATAAAATTCGTACCCTAATTTAGGCCTTACAAAAAAGGCCCGTTTATGATATTCCCATTCCTTAGCAACAAATCAAGTTCAGTCGTATCGCGGTCCATTCATATTGAATCATAAGTCACAATACGTAATCGGCTCGGAACCGTACAGTTCATTCAGACCATTTTATGTTACAGCATAAAGTCCAGAGCATGAAATTTATCGCCTGTAATATTTCTTGAAAAAATTAGCACAACTACTCAAGCGATTAATGAGAACGTGAAACACGACTCGACGTTTCTGAACTATAGCAAATTATGTACCTTAAAATATCGAATAAGTACAGAAATAAGAATAAAAACTGTAATTGAGATCGTGTCGCCGAAAAAAGCAGGTATAAAGTGAAGCACGGACCGCGGCGTCGTCACGCTTAATTAATATTTTAAATACAATTCAATTAAATTTGGCAACCGCTGCAGCCTCGCACTATTTTGTTGGCGACATTCTCGCGCCGATTACGACTGTACGACCTTTCGGCTCACTTTTTTTGGCCACGCACAAACTCGTTTTCTAGTACAACGGATTCGGGTATTATGAGCCAACGTGCCTGAAACAATGCTGGCTATTGTAAGGCCCGTGACGAATGGACCGTTGCTCATATTTTTGTGTGTTTTCGAGAGTGCGTCCGATCGGCCGCCATAAATAATAGTGCACGGATATCGACCGGAAGCCAGCACACTACACCGACAAATAGTGTCAATGACTGTTCGTTTAATCTACAGAGGAAGCTAATCAACGCAGTCCAGTCTTCGAGTACCGGTTAAATACGTGCACCTAATCAAGTGTGGCGAAACGTTTAATTGCACCTATATTATAACAATGGTTTATTGCCTCATCAACCAATACATTTAATAAATACATATAAAATACGTTAATGGCGTCTTTAGTACTTTGCACTGTTCATGTTGTAATAAATATGGTACCTACAAGTGCATGGAATAGTTAAAACAATAATAAAAGGCATTTGTAAATTAAACACAATATTGTAAAATTCAAATACAATTGTTATGCTAAAATCATTTTCATAAAATTCAAGTAAACAATCACAATATTAGCAAGTAAAAGAATCGGGCTGTCAACGACCGAATAAGACAACTTAAATCGAATTCATTGAACACGGTGGAATATCAAGGAGTTAATAATAGAATAAAAAGCAAATGAATGCCAGGCCTTCAGTCAATGGAATGGTAGTGCACGACTGAGGTATCGATGCGACATTTTTTGCGAAGTAGACAGGCCGTGAAGCGAGCCTTCGTGAATAATTACCGAGCGGTGACAGCAACACGCTACGCCACTCGGAAAACAACCCGTAGCGAATGCAACCAACCGAGATTAGACGCAGCTCAAGCAAAAAAGCTCACGCCTTCCATTAGCGGTGACTTTCGAAACGTCAATACGCACGAATTAGGATTTTACGAATGTCAGCCGTGGCAATGGTAGAAAAAAACTATGCAAAAGTAATTTTGTCTGTCACTCAGTGGCAAATTGTTGAGTATTAAACGGAATGAAACAGCGGTGTGTTGTAAAAGCGCGGGCGGCGATGCAGCGGCGGCACAGCGGTGATGCAGCGGCTGAAATTGAAGGATGGCCGGCGCGGGCCGCCTGGGAGCCCGCATCCGGCGCACCGGACCGACGTTAATGATTAACACAGACGCGGTCCGAGACCAATTATGCGCTGCCACCACACTCCAAATTAGAAACTATTTTCGCCCATTAGTGGCCAACTTCATAATCAATTACACGTTAAAATTTCACAGCGCTGTTTCGGGAGCTCTCTGTTTGGATAATCGGAGTTTGTGGTCCCACGGCGAGCTATTACGTGGCTCTGTACGGGCTATAAAGGTTTTTGTTAGGCTTCCGGCGAATTTTAATGTACGTTTCAAATGCATTTTGGTCCGGGTAACTAAATAATTGCATCTGACCATAATTTCCGCTAAATTATAATATAAACATATTTATATATGTAATAAAAAATCGTTATTTAGTCTTTCAACGTTGTGGTTAAAACTATTTATGTTAATAGAAGTACCTAATCTAAGTTTCTCAAGTTTAAACTTAACGTACGCCAAAAAAGAAAACAAATCTTCCAGAAGATTGTTCGAGACAGACAACACTAATAGGATTGAGTGCACTCCGCTAATCATAATTCATCAGCGAGATTAAAGAATAAGCGGCGCGATGAGGGGGATACGGGGCTTCAGTAGGAACCCTCCCTCCCGGCCGCCTACACTCTGCTGGCGTTCGGATGAGACTGAGAGACAATATGATTGCCACACCTGCGGAAACGACGCAAAGTAACGAGACGAGAAGCTAAATAATTCAACCAACTAACAACGCCACAAACGTTGCTCCACTCTATTTTTTGCACACTAAATGTGCGGAACATGAACAATTTAGTTGCTAATTAGCTTAAAATTATAAGCAAAATGAAGGAGCGGCTTGCTGTAATCTAAATGAAGCCGACATTACCATTTTGATTGAATGTTAATGAGAATGAGACACGAGAAAGAAAATAATTAATTAATTAAATTTCTAAAAACCATCAGGCTCTGCAGGTTTATGCCGTTGTTTAATATGATATGTAGATGGATTGTAACATTATACATACATAGATATTAAGATTTAAAATATATGTATTTCAAAGTAGAGCGCGTTTCTGTGCGTATCAGCTACACGGGTACTTATTTAGCAGATTGCTTTCCTTTAAGTTGTTCTTTAATCTAGGTATGGCCGTGGGCCGCGATGCTTTACTTCACACCCTCTCTACGTCACATCCGGCCGGCTCCTGCTACAATTGTACAAAGGATGTTCGCACGCACTTTCATATTAAACTCCTTGCAGTGATGCACTCGGTGGAAGAAAACTTTTACTGACTTTTACCACCGGTTGCTTTCAGTTTTGGATTTGTTTTTATTTTGAATAATGAATAAAAACTTCCCATAGTTTACATTTTATATAATTTTAAACGTGAGTTTTACAACAAAGCAAACCGTATTCAAATAAGTTAACAATATGAAATTATAATGATGGCTATAATAAAGCGGATGCATAGCCACACAATTTCTTATCTCAATAACTATAAAGGGTTGTCAACGAGGTGATCACTAGACGATGGCCAATTAGAACACGAATGTGAGGAGTATTATCATTCGCGCCACAGAACGGCAACCGCGAACTCGACGCGGAATTTCGTTAATGCCAACCCATATTGGATTAGCGGCGGCACCCGACCGCCGCAATAATATAACGAAATTCAAACATTAATAGGCTCAAACACAATCACGGATGGCCGCATAATCGAGTTAGCTGCTATTCGGTTAAACCCCTATCGCGTAATCTGCCCCATTGTCTGACAGTCGTTGTGCTGATCATGAGGGCCGATTATTGTGGCAATTTCGTGTTTATTGTTTTCAGGTGTCTCCTGTCACCCCGGCGCGCGTCCTGAAGGAGCACAAAGCCAGCCTTATCTCAAGCGAGACAATCTCGTAAAATGTTACCGTGAACGTCTGTAACATTTCCAAAACAATGCCCAGTAATTGTTACTTCACGAAAATTACTTCAATATCTGTCTCTGACACTATCCAATAACTGAACCGAAACGTTACAAGAAACATAATCTGACCATCTTACAATAGAATAACAAAACACAGTGGCGGATAATAAACAAAGTCACTCCGCAGTCCAAGTGATACTCAGGTGGAATATACGTCGGACAAGTTAAAAGTTTCACCTCAGTTAGATGCAGCTGAAGGAACAAATAAGTAGATAGAAGCTACGTCAAAACTGCCAAAAACAAAACTATAAAGTTTGCTTTATAACGGGTAGATATCGCTTTATCTATTTGAGATGTCGAACTCAATTTGGATTGGAGAACTTGTCTTTTATAACTTCTAGTGAACGATCTTTTGTTCATAACACCACATCTTATTACAGTTTCGGTTTTCTAATCAGATTCCATTTGAATGTAAACTATTCCATGATTAAGTCAATCGCTTTAATTAAAAGCAAGTTAATTGAATAGCAGTTACTAAAACATTCACTGACGTGTTCATTTGAAGTAGTCTAATAGCTTTGACCAAGTTACAATTTCAAATTAATGTTAAATAGATTGAATAGTAAATCTATAATTTAATGAAGTGGACCAGTTATTGATATCGACTTTGTATCTCGATACATATAATAACATTGAAAGCTTTTATGAATACTTAACCGTAGGAGGCGCGTTAACGTAAGTGAGTGTAACGACGCGTTGTAACGTTACCGATAGCAAATTCTGCTGATTTTTTATTAGATGATAAAACAAACGTCTCGTATTAATTATGAGTCGCGATGCAGTCACATCCCTATTGATCGTAAAGTATCGTTGATAGCCGCTGTAAAATGTTCCAAATCGTTGTCGTGATAATTTATGAAGCATGTTTATGGATGAATTTATGACGTTATCTCTGTGTTCCCCGTATATGTATTTAATATGGCGGATTCACTAGCATCCATCCTGTGATTAACGTCATGATTTTCAACTCCCGAAATATATTTTTCCGAGATGAGTTGTAAAGCTAAATTAGTAAACGCCTCGCGCGACGAGGGGCAAAGTGAATTAAAGCAACTTGGAGCCTATTACGTGAAGTGAGTTATAAAATAAAGCCGCGGCGAGTAACTTCATACATTACAAGCCGATAACCAGACGAGACTTCTGAGACACAAACCAGTCCCTTTTAGTGAAATTGAAAACTTTTTCTGTTACTCATACCGCGGCCACGACACGGCTCCTTTTAAATCAATTGCCTTTTATAATTAACTTACTCCGTTATTGGAGTGCACTCGCTCGTTGACTCAATTAAAATTCAATCGAGATGTAAATCTATCTATTAAAGAACGAGTTTTTCTGGCAGATATAATTGAATAAAATTGTTTTCTAGATAAGTGTTGGTTACATACGGGCTTTGAGTGGAGATATTACTTACTTAGCAATCCTTTATCGCGACGATTAAATTATCAACACATTCTGGTTCTCTTTACGACACGTCAAGAACGCGTCAGTTTCTTATCCTCATTTTATGTTTACATCCAGCGCTACAAATGGCTACGGACTACGATATAAGTAAACAACTGAAAATATTAATAATATTAAGTTATCATGAGAGCAATAACGGATAGATATAGTGGAGTGGCTCGCTGGATGGTGTTCAACAATAAAGTGTCAATTCTGAAATTATGCAGTCCCCTCTAATGCAATGAACATCCCCAATGCCTGCCCAGGGAGTGCCACTTTTACCTAATTCTTATTAAACATTTATTAGATTAGACAAAAGCTATCGGAGGTAACAGTCTCGATGTTTTATTTATGATCTTTTATTGGATTGCTATTTCCTCTCTGTTATGCTTTAGGCAATGTCTAAGTGTCTGAGATATTATTGTCTGGGCTAGTCGGCGGAACTTATTTCAGATCGCCTGGTTGTTTTAGTTTTAAGGAAGTATCAGAAATTGTTTAAAAGTGTTATCATATCGTCATAGTTTTAATCCATAAATCAATATTCATTGATTTAATTTTGTATCCAAATAATGTAATTATTAATAAACAATTTACACGTTATTTTTAATACACCTACCTCTATAAAAAACATCACTTGTGAAATTACGAATATACTGTTCAACAAGTGTCGTCAACATCATCGGTCGGTACGCAACGCTCAGCTGATCGCATTTTTCCTTTTCAGATATTATTTAATCAGAGTTATGCGAGCCATTAATTAAATTACGTTAGCTAAGGGCTCGGCTATAAGAAAATTGCTTTTATTTGTGGGGAGTCATTCAATTAAACATTCATTCATTTGCGGCCCATCGAGTGGCATCCATTACGTTTAATTATAATTTAGACTGACTCTTTAATAATTACATTAGACGCTAATGTTACCGGCGTATGCGCTATCGCCAACACCAAAACTTATTAATATACTTATGATACTAAATATAGTAATTATCTTGTCCAAATTATGATGTATGTGTATGTGTGTTAGAATTGTAATGAAATCAACGAATAATAAATTAATATTAAATGTGTACACGGTACAAAAAGTTTAGAAAGTAGCTCTACTGTATGTGTTATGGTACTTCTTTTAAAATGTATTATTAGATATTGATAGAGAACAATAATGTGTAATCAATATCTGTGTGTAATACCGGTACACTTTCGATATTAACATTTACAAGCACTTACCGAATACAACGAATAGTTCGGTATTCCCACGAGGCGGGTACCATAGGTGGCAATAATTAGACGTAAGTTCGTTAACTAAGTAACTGACTACGCAATGTCGGTGCGTAATTAAATCACTCAATTAGGGTTATTAAAAAACTCAATCTAAATTAAATTAACTATATATACTCGCTTTACAAACTAATTTAGCCTGCTTAATTAAATTATTATGGGTAATTGTACGGAAGACCTCGTTTCTTAAATTAGCTACGTATGAATTAATCAGTTTACGTTCAAGTATAAATAGGTAAGAAAGCAAATTACAAATCTGTACGCTTCAACCTTAATTGCAAACAAATACTCATAAACAATGTACGTACTAAGTATGAGACACTGTAGGGAACAGAATCTGATGAAAACTTTCAATAAGCTTGACATTAATTGGCATCAAAGCTGGAAGCGAGCGCCAGCACAAGTTTACAGCACTCATTATACTTATTGCACTTAATTAAAAAGTGTTGAGATATCACAACATCGCTGTAAACAATAGTGAATACTTTCATAACAACGAGCTTATTAATATAATAATTGAGATACACTCACCGCACACTAAATTGTACTAATTAAAACAAAAACATTCTTCACATTGTAATTACTGGCTAATTTAATATGGTATAGTGATGAATCGTTCTGTGGCCACGTTCGTACGTGAGCCGAGATCGAGACGCGTGTTAACTAAACGCATTCGTTTTTAAAACTGAATGAATGAGTGGCACTCTATCGGAGTGCTTCCTGCCGACTGTGATAACACCCCGCGCGCTTAATGAGACGTCTGTTACCATTGTAGCCACTTTAGCTAATTATTGTGAACATTAATGGCGACGTAATGATCATTGCGTATTTTACCATCGATGGGTAAGCGTTTCCGTTACAACATGATAATTGCCAGTGAAAACTTTTTACTTACTTATAATATACGCCTAGTAATATGAAAGTAAAATACAAAATTAATTAACAATGAAAGATTTTTTGATATAAAATCATATTCCACCGGCGCTTTCGGTTATTTTCCATAACACGAACCAAATAACGGAGGAACATTGAAGTTGAAGAATCATAGTTTATTTTTGAGATTGCCCACGTGCAGTGGTAGAAAAAAGAGTAATATTATTTTTCAATTCCCATACAAAAGTGGTCGGTGCGCGGCGGCAAATTGGTTGTATTGTCAATTTGGGCAGTGCGTGCCGGAGCGCAGATGAAATGTTTATTTTCAATTTCCGCCATTTTCCCGCCGCGTCCGCCGCAGGATTAGGATGCGAAACAACTACACTATCCATGGCTAACCTAGTTCTTTTTTAATACTGGCAACATGCTCACCTCAACTAACTTACTATCGTGAGCCGTGTTATGAGTAAACTTTTTTAATATCAGAAATAACATCCGTTGGAATAATTAGCATGTTTTTAATGTGCTTGTATTAAAGGAAGTGGGTGTATACAATATAAGTACTACATACTTTAAAATTACGATTTCTATTATGATATCGATTAATTATATACACACTATAAATGAAAAAGTTTATACTTCTGACATTATCTGTAAAAAATCATATTTTAACTACAATAGAAAAGTATAGTTGATATCTCATCCTTCAAGCAAGATATGAAACCTCAAAGGAAGAGAATTCGCTAGAGTTACCCTGCGGAACTACGTATATGGGGTGTTGCGAATCGGGTAATTATGCCTGGATATAAATCCGTCAGCGTGTTGCACGGATACATTACATTGAAACTTGAAACTTAGTCTTTTATTTGTATATCTATCTTTTCATAGCTATAAGTGGACCTATACTTACAATGACATTAAACGAACAGCTAGTACGAAATTGATAGAAATTGCTCAAGACCGAAAGAAATGACAAAAACTGAAGGAGGCATACACCCTAACGGTAGTAAAAGGTTAAAGAAGAACAAGTGGACCTATACTTTTAAAGAAGTTTGTTAGTTAAACAACAAAATATATCTTATTTCTAGGCACACTCATCAATGTTTAATTAATTAACCCACGAGTATATAAATCTATAAATCTATATAAATAAAAATGAATTTCTGTTCGTTAGTCTCGCTAAAACTCGAGAACGGCTGAACTGATTTGGCTAATTTTGGTCTTGATAGGTTTGTGGAAGTCTAGGGAAGGTTTAAAAGGTGAGAAAAAACTTTTAGGCGGTACGAAGTTTGCCGGGTCAGCTAGTTAAAAATAAAAATTAGGTACTCATTTATTGCCATTTCCTATATTCACAGAAATGAAATTAATACTTTAAGTTTACTAACATAGCTTTTGTTTTCCAATAACTCTCTAGTAATAATAATAATATCGGAAAGTCTTAAAGGCCAACAGTTGACGGATCAACGGTTAGGTTCTAGAAAGTCTGGTAGTTAGAAGTCAATTGTGTGCCAAAGGTGGGTAATTGCATGTAATCGGTCACAGCCGAGCGATGAGTGGACTGCACGATTTCAATTCACAATTCACGATTCGCGACCTTTAGTAGTTTAAACTAAACTGGCGATAGTGCACGCTCGTTATTAATTTAGTGATGTTAAATAGAGATAGTATTACTGCCTCGTTCGCCGAGTGGTCGCAAGTGCGACTGCCGGGCAAGGAGTCTCGGGTTCGATTCCCGGGTCGGGCAAAGAATTACTGGGTATTTTAAAAAATTCTCAGTAGTAGCACGTAGTGTGGAAATACGCCCAGTGTATAGGCTCACCCCCTATTACATGGGACTCATAACATAAATAGTGAAAAGTGGGTGTTACATTGTAGAGGTACAGTGTCATAATGCGTACTGCCTACCCCTTCGGGAATAAAAGACGTGATGTTATGTTATTATTTATTTTAAGGATCAAAAGTCAAAGAATTTCTTTTAATTTAATCACATACGTTTGAAACGTCAGTTAAGCCATCAGAGAAGGGAATATTACGTACAAAGCCGAGATTCTGAACTCAATTTCATAATAATCATTTGTTCCTACTTAACTAGGATGATTAGGCTATTACCCTAGTCATTTTTTTTATAAAAACTAAAGGCATGAGTTACAACTGCCAACTGAGAAATTTTATTAATAAAGTTGTACGATGATATCGCTAACTAGTTTTTATCTAGAAAAGTTTTAACATCAGCCCTTCTCGGAAAGCGTAGGACTGTACTGTACGTCTGTCCATTCACTTTTTGTGTAATAAATATCACATAATTCCATAGGTGGTGTAACTTACTATACATCCGTCACGTCCCAAAACAAAGAGCTTTGTCTTACTTTTATACTCCCCCTTAATTAATACGTATAAAAAAAAAGAAAAGCAAAATGGTGATGTGATGACCATAGATGTATGTTCACATTGTTCATACAGTCGCAACTATTAGTTCCTATCTCTATACCTTCAGCATACTATTGTCATGTTCATATTATGACATTCGTGAGTCAGACTACATTAATTTTAATGTTTTTATTGTTTTTGTAATTTTTATATTTATGTTTCATTTTTTATGTTTTATTTAATTACTAAAAGATGTGGTAAAACTGATGGCTACACTATCGTATTGAAATGTATCTGTAATGGTAGTTGTTAGTGCATTAATTAAATAAATGTTTTTGACGTAGTCACGTAATGATTGACGAGGAACTCGACTTATCTCAAGCCATGAATATGAGCCTCTAGGTCTAGTCGAATTGGACTTGGAAATCGACTAGTTTCAAGCCTCTAGCATGACTTGAGTTTCTTGTCAAACAGTTACGTGACTAAGCCGAAAACCTAACAATTAATACTATTACCACTATAATAAGTAAGTAGTAAATATATGTATACTCCATGTCTGCATATCGGTGTTCCCTTGTTAAAAGTCCAAACCTCTAACTGTAACAAGATAAGTAATTAATACAAGCAACGAACAGCTACCGTTTAAAATACTATATCTTAATTGGTTCACAAGATCCTTCGCCGGTGGTACGTAAGTTAAATATTAGCACATTTTATTACCCTGTGTTTACAGTGGGCTTCCTTTGAGATACTTTGACGTCGCCAGCGGCATTTTCATAGATAAAGGGATGCGACCGGACGTTCCTACTAATATTGTACCTAAGTATGTGCGTTAGTTTGTCTGATCTCTGCTTACACAGGACATGGGGGACTGTTTTAATACCTCCATTGATATCTCTTTGAGTTTCTCTTCGTTTTGGTACCATTTAATGTAAAACCAACTATAATATGTAAAGTTGCGTTATCTAAATTATTCACATAGATAGTAGATACGTTTAATGTAAACGCAGACTACATATCGGATTTCTTTAGTTTGTATAATAGTGTCACATAATTTTTTAAATTCAAATAGGTAGATAAACTCAAAACCAGTATTTTTGTAAATGCTAAAATCAATAACTAGTACCTATTATAGTTTCTATTTTTAGTGGAACATTAAATTATACATATTTCTAAACACGTGCAACATACTAATGAGTCTCTTTTAGATAGTCTGATAGACAAATTCCATGTCACTAAACTACCAACTAACGAACAATCGTGTTCCTAGATTACAGCGTAAAAGTCGGTAATTTTCCTGACATTCTACTTCAAAAGGGCTCTTCAACAATTCTATGTCATTTGGTTCAAACAAGCGGATACGTATGTACATAGGCTATACTGCAGGTTTCAACGTAATAATGTACAATTTGATAACTACAGTTAATGGCACCGAGGAAAACACTGATTCATTATTAAATAGTATGTCCGTATGTCGTTGTGTTATTACAGGTTTATTCTACAAATTGTCTAGGACACGAATAGCAAATTACGTTTCTATTTATTCTTTCTTTGTATTGTAAGCACCACCTATGCAACGTTTGAGTCACGGTTTTGATTCACCTATGATGTAAGTGTTGACAAATTGTTTATAGTTAGAGTTCCAAAGATGGCCAGTAGGTAACTGACTCTGTAGACTGGAGTGTCATATCAAATTACATATACAATAATATTCTAAAAATACATATAGAGTTACATTGAACATTCATAATATGCAAAATATTTAACGGTTATAGTAATTTATGCTTACATCTCAATGTCAGGTACATTGAACGACAGTAACACAAATAGCTATGGGTCGAATATGCACCGTATTAGACAGGAGAGGTGTCACATTTAGGCGCACATACTTGGAACAAATGAATGTGTAACACGAGGACGCGCACATGCCGGCGCGTTACAGGAATCCCGACAGGATGGCCACGGGCTTATTAACTCCCTCCATTAATTAAATTATTAGAAATCTCGAGCCGGACTAATTAATGAAGAATTCCAACATTTCGGTCCACCTATCGGGCTTTAATTAAAATTGACAAAGCCGCGGGCGAGCGCTGTCGCTCGCCAAATATCGCCTCTATTAATGAAATGATCACTCCAAACTAATTAAATTATGGAGGTAATGGTGCGTGCAAGTGATACCGGCCGCGGGACGATTCTGACAACTGCCTGTGTAATGTAACACCTACGCACCACTCCACTGCACCAGCTTTTAAACCTTATAAAAGGGATTCGTCCACTATATAATTAAATTTTTACTCTGCTATAATTTGTACAAAGGTCCTCGATGGAAACCATTTATTCGGCGAAAGCGTAACACGTAATCAGTAAGCGAACTCGATCAATATATAGCCATTTTTAACCGTTAAGGTAATTGGTGCTACCATATTAGGTGGCCGTATAATTTCGTATGATTTCAATATCCTGCAAATTAATGATCGCTACACAGGTAGGTACATGGTACACATTAATAATTTCATACATACGTTACCCAATTATTTTAAAACTACGTTGTAGCTAATGAGATGTCGAGCAATAATAACGAGCAATTAAAACGAATCGTACAAGAGCATAATACCAGCGCTGTACTACACGAACTTTCAACCTTACTTACAATAACAATTACAGTCTGTATATTATTAAACCTCTTAATAGATACCCGTTTTCCAATTAGTGTTTATTCTGTAATTGAGATCATTAATGGGTTTTAAAAGCTATTACTTCTAGAATTTGGGTTAGTTACTGTGGCTCAGAATAGACGAGTTAAGTGAGGCATGGGAAGGGACAGTCAGTGTTCATTTGAATGAGACTTAGTATGTAGCGGGCACGACACGACACGACACGACGCGACGCGACGCTAGGCGCAGCGACATTAAAATGAGTAATTATAATAAAGCTGATATGTCCTCATAATTAACTAAGCCTGATGAAGAGTGCTTTGACGAGAGGCTCGACCGCTGAGCCGCTTCAGCGCTTTATATTTTTGTAAATATGAAAAATGTTGCGTTTATAAAAATTCTTTATGAAAATTCATGATGATTGTGTTACAGTATTAGATAGAGTATTGTTAACAGAATTAATATCAGCTATTTTTAAATGACGAGTTTTTCGTAATTTTCTTTTGTTTTTAAAGCACATTTCATAAATTATTCTTATTTATTCAAAGAAGGTAAAGCCCTACTTATGGTATAACAGCGTAATTATTAGGTTCGCTCATGGCTTTTATTCATTTAGTCGCTCTACATCCACGTCCGCTCAGCGCTTCAACGCTGAATCGCGCCGCTTAC